CCTCCGGTTTCTGTGTGCACTGCTCTCAGGAAACTGGTGTTTCTATGTCCATTTCTCACCTTTATTAACTGAGATTAGGTAGGGGCTGTGTCTTGGTCATTCTGGCAAATCTACACAGACTAGCACAGTGCCTGGCACAAAGAGGGCTCTCTAAAGTTCTTGCTGAAAGAATACATTGTGGATTAGTTTCCACTCCCATACAAAATCAAGAAATGACCACACTCTGTTTGTTCCGGGCTGTGGTGGTGGGTGCCACTGTTGGAGAGGGCAGGGCCAAAGTGGCTGGCGTCAGGCACTGGCCTGACAGTTGAGAGGTAGCTTCCAAGGTCTTCCAGCTGTTGGCTGAGGAACACAGGGCAAGTCACTCATTTTCTCTGACCCTCAGTTTTGCCCTCTGTAAAATGGGGAAAAGCCTGTACCTACCTCACAGGGTGGGCATGAAGTTGAAATGACTTAGTAGACGTGCTTAGAAGGCAACTGAACACACAGTGGGTGTCAGTCAATGGGTACCCTCACTAGCAATAGTAACGGAATATTCCGTTTGACCAAACATCAAGGTTGATGTCTGACAATGTCTTGCTCAAGTACGTTGACTCATTTTTCCGAAAAAACAAACTTAATTTTCAGCCTTTTCCTAGGACACGTCCCTCAATGGAATGACTCAAAGATTCTTCAGACACAGGGACTGAATCGAGACAACACAATTCAAAGGCTGGGAAGTACTCCTTATCTTTGTGCCTAACCTCAGGGCCAAGGTGAGTCTGGACCGAGTCAAATGCTGTCCTAAGCCTTGCGGAGTTTAGAGAGATTTGGTTGCAGGAAATGCTTAACGCCTACAGAGGAAATCTAGTCCTAGAGCCAGCTCTCAGCTGCTTGCTCAAGTTCCTCCCCCTTCACCCTCTTGCGCATCACATAACACCTTTTATAAAGTCAAAACCATGAATTATTTCAGGATTATTATGTGTCATAACTGAACTGAACTGCAGGTTCCTAAATAAATAAGTACTTAAATAGGGACATCACTGAATATTTATGAATTCAAGAGACTCATGTGTTTGGTTCACGAAAACTGTGAAGTAATTTGGAGAGATATCTTTTCCCTTTAAATTGAAAGAATCCTTTAAGGAGTGCCTCTGTCCAGGGTGTGGGAGAACCTTCAATGCCACCCCTAGTGCAGACGGCAGCCCCTTTATCAATACAATGGACCTCCAATGGTGGGGCGTGGTGGCTCATGCCTGTCATCCCAGCTCTTTGGGAGGCTGAGGCTGGTGGATCACCTGAGGTCAGGAGTTTGAGACCAGCCTGGCCAACAGTGAAACCCCATCTCTACTAAAAAAAAAAAAATACAAAAATTAGCTGGGTATGGTGGCACGCACCTGTAGTTCCAGCTACTTGGAAGGCTGAGGCCAAGAGAATTGCTTGAACCTGGGAGGCGGAGGTTGCAGTGAGCCAAGATGGCACCACTGGACTCTAGCCTGGGCCATAGAGGAAGACTCTGTCTCAAAACAAAACAAAACAATGGACCTCCAAAATATCAGGGAGCCATCAGGGATATCTGATGTTGCCACGTGTGGAACAGATCTTACCATCCTGTTTAGGGATGTTTTCTAGCTCACGGCTGGGGCTTTTACCATAATGAAACATAAAGTGGGGTTCCTGTATGCTCCTTTTTTTTTTTTTTTTTTTTTGAGACAGTCTTGCTCTGTCACCAAGGCTGGAGTGCAGTGGCACAATCTCAGTTCACTGCAAGAAATAACGAGGTAAAGATGGCAGGAGGAAGAGTGAGGACTCTGGAGACAAACTCATGTGTTGGCTGGATGAATGTGGGTAAGTTCTTTGGTTTCTGAGTCTGTTTCTGGGTTTATAAAACTATAGAGAAGCTACCTCCCGAGGAGAATTAAGTAAGAGCAGAGCACCAACCTCGACCTCTGCTATTCAGGTGGCCTTCGTTCATCACTCCATCCTTCCTCCCCAAAGGTTTTCTGTATGATTTTAACATTCCCTCCCTCATTACTGTCTTCTTTGGGCCACTGGGGCATCAGCCAGGGTAACATCCCACCCCCATGAGCATTTTCAGCTGGTGGTGGTGGTATAGCTTGGGAGAGGAGAGATGGGGACGGGGGCCTCAGGGGCCTCTGGAGAACTGCTGCCCCTAGACAACCTCCTGCTCAGCCATGGGGCCCTGGAAGTGCCATCTGAGCTTACCTTGGGATACAGAGACACTAAGCATCTTTCTATTCAAATTCAGCAAACACAACTTGTTCAGAATAGATTTGCCTGTTATGGGAAACCGTTGAGTTTGCTTTCAGTTTGCCTCCTCTTATCCTTTACCGAACCCAAGCTCTACCTTTTGGCTATGCCCAACCTCTTTTGGTTTCTCACTAGTGCCATTCCTTTTCTTGTCTCTGGACCTTGGCCATGCTGCTTCTTCCATTTGGACCTTTCTTTCCCTTGTCTGTGCACCTGGCTAACTCCTTCTTATCCCATGAGTCGGATGTCCCTTTCTCCAAGAAGCTCCCTAACCCCCGACCTGGGTGTTCCTCCTCTGAGCCCCCACACAGAGCTGTGCCCTTCCCCATTGTAACACACATCACAGTGATGAGTAAAGGAAAGTGCGATTTCCTCTCTTCTTGGCCTGCCCGAGCTCCATGTGAATGGATACTGTGATGTCTGTCTCTCTCATGGCACTGTTTCTAGCACCTGGAGTAGCAGCAGGCACACAGTAGGCGCTCAGAAGGTACTGTTGAATGGAACTGAATCCTATTGTCCTCTCTGGGGTGGAAGGAAAAAGCAATCATGTAGACAAGTGTCATGGACGGGAAAAGATCAAGGATAGAAGATGGGAGGCCCGGCGTGGGTGCTCACGCCTGTAATCCCAGCACTTTGGGCGGCCAAGGTGGGTGGATCATCTGAGGTCAGGAGTTTGAGACCAGCCTGACCAACATGGCGAAACCCTGTCTCTACCAAAAATACAAAAATTAGCTGGGTGGGGTGGCACATGCCTGTAATCCCAGCTACTTGGGAGGCTGACACAGGAGAATCTCTTGAACCTAGAAGGTGGAGGTTGCAGTGAGCTGAGATCGTGCCATTGCACTCCAGCCTGGGCAACAGAGTAAGACTCTGTCTCAAACAAACAAACAAACAAAAAAGATGGGGCAAGCAAGGAGCTTTCATGTGGACCAAAAACAAACAAACAAAAAATCACCCCCTCATTTTAATGAGGGAGGTATGGGCTAGACTGGTAGGTTCTTCCGAGGTGGGAAAATGGCCAGAGGTGGCTAGGTAGAGGTGGGAGGTTGCTGTCATTGTGGCCTCAGTGCACTTCTATCCCCCTCCTTTCACTCGTGCCCTCCCCTTTGGGCTGCACCCGCACCTTTGACACACAGGCATTTCCTCCTCCAAGTGGGAGGAAAAAGGAGAATGGAGAATGATGGCATTCTGGGACTGACTGCTTGTTAGAGTGCTCTTTTAATAGCGGATGGAGCTGGCCAAAACAAGGTTTCTAGAGAATTTCATTTATTTGTCAGCTGCCTCATTTTATTACTGAATCAATGAGTTAATGAGCGACGTGGTTGGCCAAAGTTGTCCAAGTTCATTAAGACAGAGGTGTGGTAATTTCCAGGGCTGCCTTTGGGACCTTATCAGTCATTCGGGAGGTTCTTACATTTATTTTATCCTTTGTAAAGATAACTGGGGAGGCCCATTCTGTGGTCTTTTGAGTGACCTCTGGAGAAGTCTACCTGGGCAAACCCTGTATCTTCCTCCTTGTGATATTTCCTTTCCGTCCCGCAGCCCTCCCCCTGCCACCGCCCCCATTTCTCAACTCACCACCGAGCTGCTGTGCTTCAGGCCTGGATTTGCACTGACCTCTTAGGAAGCAGAACACCAAGGGCTTCAGTGGCATGTCCCATTATGGGGATGACACGGCCATTAGTAACCATGGAAACCGCCCTTCCCCATGGCTTGTGTGGCTCTACAGGCCTAATTTACACCCAGCTCTTCCAGATTTGAAGGGGTTATGGGGACCCAAGCACAGTGGCACCTTCCTTTAGCCCTGACAAGGCAAATACCAAGCACTTTCAAAGCCTTTTCCGATTAGAATAACCTCAAGTCTTTGATTCAGTAAACGTGGATACGTATTTTTAAAAAATCCAAAAAGAAAAGGGGAAAAAAAAGAGAGAGAGAAAAAGAAACAACCACTTCATGTTTGGTGTTTTTACAGCAACAAACATAAAACACAGAGGGAGGATGTGCTTTCTAACAGTCACAACTAAACTTCAGAGTGGACAGGCCTGAAGGCTGGCACCCAAACAGGCTACAGCCAGCAGTGCTGTTCCCTGGGCACAGCCTTACAAATGAGGGCATAGTTTCCATCAGCCCCCATTTTTCTTCCTTTTTCAAAGAACCTTTACAAATAACTCATCAGCCGGGCTCAGTGGCTCATGCCTGTAATCCCAGCATTTTGGGAGGCAGAGGTAAAGGGATTGCTTGAGTCCAGGAGTTTGAGACCAGCCTGGGCAACAAAGTGAGACCCCGCCTCTTCCAAAAATTTAAAATATTAGTTGGGTGTGGTAGCAGGTGCCTGAAGTCCCAGCTACTTAGGAAGCTGAGGGGGGAGGATCGCTTGGGCCCAGGAGTTTGAGGCTGCGATGACCTATGATGGAGCCACTGCACTGCAGCCTGGGTGGCAGAGCAAGACTCTGTCACTAAAAACAAAAAAAAACCACCAAAACCAAAACCAGACCCTTCCACTACAAGAATAAGTATGTGAGGTAATGCGTACGTGAATCAGCTCGATTGAGCCATCCCACTAGGTAAACATATTTCAAAACATCATGTTGTACGTGATCAATATACACCATTCTTATTTGTTAATTACAAGAAAAAGAAGCCACCATCTACGTCAACATCTCTGTACCCTACAATCTATACCAACCCTGGCAACGAAAAGAAAGCAAGCTGCATTCTCCGCTGCTGCCTGGGTGAGCAGGTGGAATTACCTGTCTAGGCCTGGCCAGCCTCTGCAGGGACGCAGTCGGAGTCCGATTCGGCCAGTTCCACCGCGCCTTCTGCTGCAGCCTGACTCCAGCTATCTGATCTATCTGAGATGGCATCCTCCTCCCCGACCGTCACCTCCACGTAATCCACAACGCTCGACTCCTCGTTCTCGTCGCTGCCCTGGCCGTCCCGGCTGCTGCCTTCTGACCGGTCTGAGGTGGCCTCTGAGGGCTTTGCTGGCAAACAGTCTTTTGCTGGCTCGCTGCCTACTTTTACCCTGGGTACCAACTTCTCCAAGTCCTCCTCGCAGAGTTTTTTGGGGTCCTTGTAATATTGTGGAACCACGTCACCCCCGTTCTTTGGGCTCTCGGCGATGGGTTTTGTTGCTTTCCTTGCTACGGCATCGTAGCCGTGATCATCTGCCACGGGCTGGTGCTGGTACTGCTCCATCCACTTCACGGTTCCTGTTTTCAGCAAGCATCTGTTCTCCTTGAACCAACGCACTATCTCAGTTCGGACCAGGCCCGTCTTGGCCGCTAACTGGTCGTACTCCTGGGGAGTAGGCCACTGGGTTCTTGCAAACGTGCTCCTCAGGAGATGAACCTGTTCTTGACTTTTTGCAATTGCTGGCGAAGGGCTGGGCAGAGAACTGGTTAACTGGGCACCAGAGAGCTGGTCGAGTCGAGACAGAGCACCGTTGGGGGCTCCCGCATCTTGGCCTTTTTTGCCAGACCCCATGGAATCTAAGACAGCTTGTTCCATGCTGTCTCGAAGCTTCCGCCTCTCCGAGAACCAGGAGTCGATCTCTCTCCTGCTCAGCTTGGTCTCCACCCTTAGCCGATCCAGTTCTGCTTGGGTAGGAAAAGAACTTTTCAAAAAGCTGTCTTCCAAGATTTTCACCTGACCCTGTGTTTTCTCTTTGAACTTCTGAGGGGCAAAGTCCGGGTATGCATGGTAGGTGCGACCGTGTCGGGAGGCTGCGATGGCCAACTGGTCTTTGGCAAGGGATTCGCTGGTGATGTGGACGATGCCCCTTTGACACCGATACCGGTGGTCACTGAACCACTTCTTGATCTCGCTCCTGGCAAGGCCAGTCACCTCGATAAGCCGGTAAACCTCAGCATCATCGGGGAACTGGCTCTGGAGAAAGCTGGCCTTGAGATGTGCTATCTGCTCCTTTGTCTTCTTGCGGTCACTGGCTGGCGTGGGCGGGGGGTTGGCCACCTTGGGTGGGGGCTCTGGCACCTGAGCGATGTGTGGACGCTTGGGCTCGGGGGCAGCTTGGGGAGTCACCAAGGGTCTCTTCTGGCCGTGGTTGGTGACTCCTGCCACGGCAAGCGTGATGGGGGAGCAAGAGACGGTTGTTGACCCGCTGGTCACCTGAGTCAGCACCAGGCTAGTCTGGCCGAGGATCTGGCACGGTAGAGCCGTCTGGAGGATGGGCTGCGTCACCTTTGTGGGGGCCAACTGGGCGGGCAGCACAGTGATGGTCGGGGGTACTGACTGGATGGTGCCATTGAACATCTTTTTCCGGGCCTCCTCTACCTCTTCTGGGGACCAGCTGATGCCGTGCTTTAAGCGCTGGGTGGCAAACCAGATTCTGATGTGCTCCTCTGGGTGTTTGGAGGCAGCCGTCAGCCAGGACAACTCAGCCTGGGTCGGGTAAGGAAACTTGTTGAAAGAGTTGATCATCGTGGCATTTGTATCCAGGGCAGAGTTGTATTTGGTAGTATTTAGTGGGACGGGGACCTTGGGCACAAGGTTGATATTTGGTGGCAGCTGTACAGAAGGCATGACGTGTCCTAATGTGTCTTGGAGGAGCTCCACACCTCCGAGTCTCGAGAGGATCTCAGCTGTGTCTGTCACCAGGCGGGCCGTCCCTTCCACGTGGTTCTCGGGGGTGATCTCCTCGGGCTTCTTGGGCACCTTCTTGGCATCCGCTTTTGGTTTTCCGGGCTTCATGATGGGGGTTTTACTCACCGAGATCCCAGAATCACTGTCACCAGTTCCAGGGCCGCTAGTGGTGATGGACACGACATGGTTGGCGGCTTCGATGGACTGTTCCAAGACAGTTTGATTATTGCGCTTAATTAACTTCAGCTTGAAGTTGGCCTCCCCGGGATGGAACTTGGAGTTGTGGTCGGACAGGGAGTCGTACTTTTTGGTTGTGAAGTTACATTCTGCACACACATAGAGGGGGTTGAGAATCACGTTGGGATGCTGCATGTCGACGTGCTCCGTGAACTCGTTCAGGTTTTGCGTGGAGTAGGGGCAGTATTTGCACTCATAACCACCTTGAAGTTTTTTGGACTGGCTTTCTCCCATAGATTTCACCTCTATCACTTCATTTTCTTTGGAAGAGTTTTCAAGTTCTGCTGCCCAACTGTCCTTGGCCACGTCAGGCTGTGGTGTGCTGATTCCTTTCTCTTTGGCCCTGTCTACCTCCTCGGGCACATCTTGCTCTACTACTTGTGATGTCCGAACCATGCACGGAGTTGTAGATTTTCGTTTGCTAGCCATGCTGCCTGTCTGTGTGCAATGGCTTAGTTTTGGAGGGGGGTAGGGAGGGGATGGTGAGATTCTTGGAACGAATAAGGTGAAGGGCTTTTGGCTTTATTCCCCCTCAAATGGCTTTGGCTTTCCTTGTATGCTGAAGTCTACTGTTTGAGTTTTCAGAATGATTTCAGCACAGAAAATTGCAATGGCACCAACCACTAAACACACCAGGAAGCATCATATCTGTGGGCAAGAACAAAGACAGGGTCAGTGTCTCTTCACAAGGCAAAAGAAACTGGCACTTCTGTATGAGTTTTCCCATGACCCATCTCAACTGGCACCCAAATCGAACACCTGTGTACGCCCAGATGGCGTGAAAGTGCTTATAAACAAGAAAGATCGCATTATTCTTCTCTTCCTTTTTTTGGGAAGGAGGTGAGAACAGGCCCAAACCAAGCAAAGGTGGATGAGGGTCACCATTTCATGTTTAGAGACAAAGGAATGCAGGAAAGGTAGACAGCTACTAAAATCTTCTGAAGTGGTGAGAGGGAATGTCGCAGATGGTGTGCTTGCAAGCCGCTTTTAGATACGGTACCTCGGAAGCCAGACGTGTCCCCAGGGCTGGCAAGTGAAATTTATCCAGGCGTTAGAAAACAGATATGAACATTTTGCTTATCATAAAGGCAAAATCACAATAGAAAATCCAGAAAACGCAGAGAAGTATAAAAGAAAAAAAAAAGCAATCACCCCCCAATATTGTAGTTTTATTGTTCATCTCACTTAAACAGTTTCCCATTTCCAAAAATAGTGAGCAAAATGATGATTTTAAAAATCATTATTTCATCACGTGGTGAAACAGTCATGTGTGGTATATTCCTATAATGCATGTTATTACATTGTAGGGATAGACCACGCATGATGTGTTCAGCCATTGGACTTCTTTTTTAAAATTTTATTTTAAGTTCTGGGATACATGTGCAGAATGTGCAGGTTTGTTACATAGGTATATATGTGCCACGGTGGTTTGCTGCACGTATCAATCCGTCATCTAGGTTTTAAGCCCCGCATGTATTAGGTATTTGTCCTAATGCTCTCCCTCCCCTTGTCCCCCACCCCCCGACAGGCCCCAGTGTGTGATGTTCCCCTCCCTGTGTCCATGTGTTCTTATTGTTCAGCTCCTACTTATGAGTGAGAACATGTGGTGTTTGGTTTTCTGTTCCTGTGTTAGTTTGCTGAGAATGATGGCTTCCAGCTTCATTCATGTCCCTGCGAAGGACATAAAGTCATTCTTTTTTATAGCAATTGGACTTTTGTTGAACATTTATTTCCAGTTTTTGACTCTTATCAACAAAACTGCAGTGAATACCCTTAATCCTTATTTCTGATAACTACCTTTGGATGGATGCCTAGAAGTGGTTCTCTTGACCCATATATACGGTAGAGTGTTGGCCTCAGTTGGCCTTTTCTTTGGTAGTGTATGAGAGGGCTTGATTCACAATCCAGCCTAGGTAAAATACTACTGTTAAACAGCCTTGCTGATTAGATAGGGAAAAACAGTTTTTTGGATTTTTGTTTGTTTCTGAGACAGAGTCTGGCTCAGTCACCCAGGCTGGAGTGCAGTGGCACAATTCTAGCTCACTGCAACCTCTATCTCCTGGGCTAAAGCAATCCTCCTGCCTCAGCCTCCCGAACAGCTGGAACTGTAGGCACACACCACCATGCCCAGCTAATCATTTTATTTTTATTTTTAGTAGAGACAGCGTTTTGCCATGTTGTCCAGGGATTTTGCCATGTTGTCCAGGCTGGTCTCCAACACCTGGGCTCAAGTTGTCCACCTGCTTCCGTCTCCCAAAGTGCTGGGATCGTGGGCGTAAGCCTTGCCTGGCCAAGAAAACTGTTTTAATATGCTTGTATGCTTTTCTTGACTGACAATAAGGTTTAATTGTTTTCAAAGATTTGTTCACTATTTATATTATTTTGTAAATTGTCTGCTTATGTCATTTTTATATTTTGACGTTCTGTGGTTTTTATTATGAATTTGCAAGAGTTCTCTTTACATAAATAATATTAATGCTTTACTTAGTTTGTTGCAAAACTTTCTCCAGTCTATCATTTACCTTTTTTTTCTTTGGTGAGACACGAAATTTTGCTCTTGTGGCCCAGGCTGGAGTGTAATGGTTTTTATTATGAATTTGCAAGAGTTCTCTTTACATAAATAATATTAATGCTTTACTTAGTTTGTTGCAAAACTTTCTCCAGTCTATCATTTACCTTTTTTTTCTTTGGTGAGACACGAAATTTTGCTCTTGTGGCCCAGGCTGGAGTGTAATGGCATGATCTTGGCTTACAACAACATCTGCCTCCCAGGTTCAAACGATTCTCCTGCCTCAGTCTCCCGAGTAGCAGGATTACAGGCATGCACCATCACGCCAGGCTAATTTTGTACTTTTAGTAGAGAAGGGGTTTCTTCATGTTGGTCAGGCTGGTCTCAAACTCCTGACCTCAGGTGATCCGCCCGCCTCGGCCTCCCAAAGTGCTGGGATTACAGGCGTGAACCACCACGCCTGGCCCTATCATTTATCTTTCAGTTGTGCATATTATATACATTTTTAATGTTTAACATGTAGAAATTTTAATTTTTAGCTAATATATTTACCAATTTTTTTCTCTTGTAGCCTCCTCCATTGTGATTTTATATTTAGGAAGTGATTCCCTGTCTTGATAGCCGAAATATATTAATCTACATTTTCTTAAGAATGTTTTAACTTTATTTTTGCCTTTAACTCATCTGGTATTGAATTTATCTTGGGTTAAGCTGTAAGACAATTCTAACTATTTTTCTTGAGAGTTACCAACCATCTCAGCAGCATGCATTATTATTTCCTTTCTAACTAATTTTTGAGCAACCTCCTTTATCATACACAAATTTTGTATCTACTAGGGTTGGTTCTGGGTTATGTAATCTGTGTATTGATCTAGCTATTGAGTACTGCACTTATGCCTTGCTTTTAAAACAACTTTTGTAAGTTTTAGAGTACATTTTTATATCTAGTGGAGTTCCTCCTCATTACTTTTTCTTTTCGCAAAACAGTTCTTGGTTATTTTGATAATCTAGTCTCATGAATCAATATCACCTGTGAAATAAAATTCTATTAGAATTTTGATTGGAACTGCATTAAACAAATGATGATTTGAAAGTACAGGAACAATTTGCTTATTAGTTAACAGAGAATGGAGAGCTGATGGGCTAAAGGAGGCGGGAGACATGTTTTCAAACAGAGATCCCCGACCTCCAGGAAAGGAAGGAAAGGGAAGGGAACGCAGGAGATGGCATCTCATCTCTGGCCTCTCCCATGGGCCTGGGTTTGAGTCCCACTGAAGAGAAGGCATAAAGGCCGAAATGAAGAACTTATTTTCACAAACAATTCTGAGAGTCTAGGCCCACGTCCACCTGCTTAGGGGCTCAGGTGACACAGTTGGGCAGGGCTTGGGAGAGGGCCATTCCCCCACTGGTGAACCCAGAACCTGGCCCCTCTAAGATGAAAGCACCGGCATGTATAGACTGGTCAAATTCATCAGCAGTGGGGTGCAGGCTCCTCGGGCAGCAGTGAGAAGAGGACAGGGGCAAACCAGAGAAGAGGGCAGCTGCTTCTTTTTATTGACCATGCTTAAACTGCCACCTCCAGCCTCCACCTGCCATGATCTTCAGGTCTTGATCTCACCTCTCAAATACTTTCCACGCCTCCAGAGTTCATCTCCAGCAACGGCACCACCAAGACCCGGCAAGCTCCGGCCCCGGCTCCCCTCTCCCACCGCCCTTCACACTCCAGTGGCTCTGTGAGGACCTCACTCCCCTCACAGCGCCTCTGCCAGAACATCCCACCCCGAGAGACAGCGGCTTGGTTTTCAGGTCTCCATTGAAAAGTCACCCTCCCACAGGGAGGCTTTCGCTGACAGCCGCCCCTCTGCAAAACAACGCCTGCCCAGCACTCTCCATTTCCTCAGCCCGCGTGGCTTTCTTCACGGCACTCTTCAATAGCTGACATCATACTTTGATGTTTTGTGGTTGAAAGAGGAACAAGTTTCTATCCACTTGTTTATCATTTGCATCTCCCTCCAGAACCATTCTGCCCAATATGGTAGCCACTAGCCACATGTGGCCTTTGAGTTTAATTAAAATGAAATAGGATTAAAAATTCAGTACCACAGTCATGCTAGTCACATTCCCAGTGCTCAAGGAGCAAATGTGGCTGGTGGCTATTGTCTGATACAGCAAAGGACATTTCTATCATTGTGGGAAGTCATATTGGACAGCACCATTCAAGAACAGAAACTTCATCAAGGCAGAAAGGTTTTTTTTTTTTTTTTTTTTTTTTTTTTTGAGATGGAGTCTTGCTCTGTTGCCCAGGCTGGAGTGCAATGGCACAATCTTGTCTCACTGCAACCTCTGCTTCCCAGTTCAAGCGATTTTCCTGACTTAGGCTCTCAAGAAGTTGGGACCACACACATAAACCACCACGCCTGAACTAATTGTTTTTTTTTTTTTCAAAGACAAGATTTCACCCTGTTGCTCAGGCTGGTCTCGAACTCCTGGGCTCAAGTCATCCACTTGCCTCCGTCTCTCAAAGTGCTAGGATTACAGGTGTGAGCCATCACACCCAGCATCACAAATTAAATTAACAAATTAAATTAACAACACACATGTGAACATGTACTATTAACACAGCAGAATGTGGCTAAATTTGCACCCACTGGCCAAAGGGCTTGGGACATTTGAATTAAATTTTTCAAAACAGGGGGAAAGACACTTTCCTCCTGCAGAAAAGGCATCAGGCAGGAGTAGACTCAGGGGAGGAAATATCTTTTTTACCGAAACTTCCCATATCCCGCATTATTTAAATCTGTTGACAAGTGAGTCCCTAAAATGAGGTGAATGGCGGTAAAATGGCCTGGAAGCTTCTCAGTGTTTCAAAAACTGTGGCTGAAAATAAAAGCATCTTCTAAAACTCATTCAGCAACCAGGAATCCAAACCAAAGAAGATGAAAAAGAAGAAGGAAGAAAAGAGAGAAGGAGGAGAGCTCAGAAAACACAGAGCCTTTTGAGAATCTATTGCTTAGGGTTCTCTTGGTGGATCTGCAAGAAACACGGCCTTTAGAAGGACGATCCTGGCACCAGGGATTGGGTGTCTGAAGGGCAGTAGCATGTTGGCATCTGTCATTTTGAAAGCCTGTGAGCCACCAGC